ACATATTAATTATGGCAAGTAAGATACCTTACTGACGATTCCCACTCCTAACCTCTTGCTACGTTCGGTCTGCGCTTACGGCTGAGGGACAAAACACAGACTGTATCCTAATATACCTTTTTGTACATGATATTTTGTTTGATTCCTTATCTTTTGTCCTAATATTTCAATTATTAACGAAAATCTTTCAGCTATATTCGCCGACCATCAAAAGTATGACGGGGTTGGATCAGAAGAGCACCCTAAATAAGGAGCCAGTGGTCGCGTTGGTGACAACTGAATTTGTACCATGGTGTACCAAAAGATTTGCAGAACCCATCTTAGATGTCATCCAAGGTTAGTCGACTTGTTTTTAAATTTTTAATTTACTACGATTTTAATTTTTAATTTTTTTAAATTTTTTAATTTACTTTTCTTTAAATTTTTTAATTTTTTTAAATTTTTAATTTTTTTAAATTTTTAATTTACTGCGATGGAACTGTTAACTCCCTGTGGAATATACCTTTTTTTAGGAAGAGCTGGCGATGGTTTAACTGATCGTTTAGCAACATACGCAGTGCCAAGCGACTGGGCTCTACACAAAGAAGAGGGTTTGCAGCAGAAGTCAAGGCAGGAAATTCGAATCATCAACGAACGAGTAAGCAGTTTTTTGATATTTTTGGATAAAATTATCCTGGGATTCGGAAGCTGTGTGTGATAAATAGCTGATTTTTGCTTCGGACAAATGTTGTGTTTCGTATTCGACCATTTTATTGTTTAGAGGGCTTTTGATGGTCGTTCAGTGACTGCAAGAGGCGATGTTACGAGTACGAGCTTGGCCTGGAGTCAAATTAGGCCTCATTTATACAGTTGTGATGGCCAAGGTGTTACTGTTTGGCGATGTACATCTGACAAATTAAACGAAGTTCGGAAATTTCGTTTGCGGAAAGATAATGCTTTAATCGAAGTAAGTATTTTCTCAGCGTCAACTTTTATATTCAACATGCTCCCTGCACCTCAAAATCAGCAACAATAGAAATAGTTGAGCTGGTGCTTGGGATGGGTATTACTTCTTGCGCGTGTTTCACGTTTCAGTTTGGGAAAATAGCAGTCACGAAAATCTCCATCTGATTCTCCAGAGTTATTAATGTTACCCGGTTCGCTTTTCAGTAAAAAAAAAAAAAAATGGCCAGCGCACCAGCGCACGGGCTGCCCGTGCGAAGATGCGTTTTTTGCATAGTTCCTCGCAGTTTTTTTTGCTACCGACACCGGCGTTTTCGGCAAATGCTTCTAGCTAAACAAATTAAGACTGGCCGCCAGAACTGTCAGAAAACATCCCCGCTTTTCTACTTCCCTGATACATGAGTTAGCAACTTACTGGAACAAAATTTTTACGGGCCCTTGCATGTTTAACAAGCATACCTGAGAGCTGGGTTCGAGCTGAATGAAACTTGGGTGGACGGAGTATATCCTCTTAAAATTACATTCCTTTAGCTTCTCAGGCATTTGATTTATCAATTTAGACGAAATAAATTTTGGCGGGCCCGTATGCGGGTACACGCTTACCCGGAGGCTGGGTTTGAACCCACTAATACCCAATTGGACGGGGAACATCATCCTAAAATTTCAGCTTTCTGGCTTCCCAGGTCCCGGAGTTATAAACTTACCCGAAAAAAATTTCGGCGAGCTCGTACGCGGGTACCACGCTTACCCAGGGGCTGGGCTTGAGCCCACTTTTACCCACTTGGACGGGGAACATTACTGTAAGGTTTCAGCCTTCTAGCTTCTCAGATCCCCGAGTTATGAACTTACCCGAAAAAAATTTTGGCGGGCCCGTACGTGGGTAGCACACTTATCCTGGGGCTGAGTTTAAGCCCACTAATACTCGCTTGAGCGGGGAACATTAATCCAAAATTTTAGCGTTCTAGCTTCTCAGATCCTCGAGTTATGAACTGACCCCAAAAAAACTTTGGCGGGCCCGTACGCGGGTACCAGTTTCGGCGCCCATTTTGGGGATTGGGGCCGGCACGTGCATGTAGATTAAGTTCCCGAAATTTCAGCCCCG